GAAGAGAAAATTACCTGGAGTGGGGAACACAACGACACCAAAACAGCAACAACAAAAACCTGTTCCATCATCAGTATGACAAAAATTACAAAAATTTGATCCATATGAGGGGCTCCATGTAATCCCAGCATGCCAGAGAAGATAGGAGGATGGTGAGTTGACTGGGATACATAAGACCCTGCCTCAAAAAAATAAAAGTAATCCTATGGGGCTGGAGAGATGTCTCAGTGGTTAAGAACACAGGATGCCCTTCCAGGGAAGCAGGATTTGATTCCTAATACCCATAAGGCTGGCGGGGAAGTGATGTCTTCTTCTGGTCTCCAGGGGCATCAGTTGCAGGTGGTGCAGAGGCAACCAAACCAACAAAACACCCGTACACATTAATTAGTTAATTTGAAAATAATTTTGAAAGTAAGAAAGGAAAAGGCCATGTGGTAACACAAACCTATAATCCAACACATGATAAAGTAAAGCAGGAGAGGTTTCAAATTCAGCGTCTCAGTGGGCTACACAGTGAGTTCCTGGCCTGCCTGAGCTACAGAGAGAATCTGGGGGAAACAAAAGAGCTGAAGATATTCTCAGTGGTACAAATACTTGTATAACTGTGTTCAATCCCCAGCAGTCTAAGTCTAATAAATATTTTCAGACGGCCCAAAGCAAAACTAATTTTTTTTCAGATAACTCTCTCTCTCTCTCTCTCTCTCTCTGTGTGTGTGTGTGTGTCTCTCTCTCTCTCTCTCTCTCGCGCTCTCCCGCTCTCTCTCTCTCTCTCTCTGTGTGTGTGTGTGTGTCTCTCTCTCTCTCTCTCTCTCGCTCTCTCTCTCTCTCTCTCTCTCTCTGTGTGTGTGTGCGCGTGTGTGTGTAGCCTTGGCTGTCATGGAACTTGCTCTGTAAACCAGGCTGGCCTTGAACTAACAGAAATCCACCTGCCTCTGCCTCCTGAGTGCTGGGATTAAATGCATGCCCCACCACCGCCGATGCTGCTGGGCCACTGATGAGTCTCTTTTTAAATAAATAAATAAATAAATAAATAAATAAATAAATAAATGTAAAATAAAAGGAAGTGTAACGAAAAACTATTCTGATTGAATGTCATAGCCCAGTGTGGTGGTTAATGCCTATAATTCCAACACCAGGGAGTCTGGGGCAAGAGGGTCACCAAGAGTTTTAGACCAGCTTGGACTCCAGAGTGTTACACCAAGGAACTTTAAAGCAGCACTTGAAATAGTAGCAGACTTTTTTTTTTTTCTTGCACAAAAGCATAACATGCAGCTTGTGTCTGTCTACCTATCCAGAACCAATGGCACTTTTGGTCAAAAGCTCTTCCCAAGGTGTAAATTGAAAAAAAAAAGGGGGGGGGGACTAGCCAGTCTTACTCATCTTACTGAGTACAGCACCTGATGACAATGATGACATTCCTTACCTATTTCTTAAGTGCCAAACACTGCATGAACAGCATTACACATAGCAGCTAATCTTCCCAACACTCAAAACTGGTGAGGTGAGTGCTATTGTCAAACCATTGTAGATGAAGAAATCCAAGCACAAAGAGGTTTGGCCTGTCCGTATTCAGGGCCCAGCACAGCAGAGGATTCAGACCAGGCAGTGTTAGGCAAAGCTGAAGCTCTTACCAAGAACCAGTGACAGGAGACTGAAGGATACATGCTGAAATAACAACTTACAAATATTTTGGCCAAAAAAGCTTTCCTAGTCATGTGTAGTTTTTAAATACACACAGAATGTAGCTAGCTATTCTTTGTTCCAGCCATCCAACTAGCTTGAAGGTACAATTAGGCACAGGAAATAGGTTATAAGTAATGGGGGCCGGGGGGATCTATTTCAAACAAACAAACAAACAAACAAAAATTTCCCTTAGTATTTTATAGTGTTCTAACAAAAGAACAGAGAACTTTGGGCTATGTGTCTCAAAAGGGGGGGCCAAGCAGGTAGGACAAAGAAAGACAGGGTGAGCTACTGACCAAAGCCTATGGCTCCCGTGAGCCCTTCTGCAGTGACGCTCGCTCGAAGCACTGCAGTGCTGCCGGCGGCGGCATCAGGGCTCAGCTCCTGGAAGCCATACTGCAAAGGTACCCCTACAACCACACAGAAAGAGAGCACCTTTTCTCTACATTATTCTATTCACCCTTGGGCCCTACCCTGGGAAGTTTGAGTTAACAGAGGATTTGGGCAGGGGCCAGCGTGACTTATTGTTGGACAGAGTGCAGTAGCTTAGCCAATAAATGAAGTTTGCTTTAGCTTCTTAGTCCTTGGAAGGGGTCATGTGGGGGGGGGGCATAAATAGTTCTCTGATAGACAGAAAATGCCTCCTACCCACACAGGCATTGTCGGAATTACCTGGATCTGATTTTTATACACCACTAGAAGAAAAACTCAGACCATTCAGTGACAAAAAGGAGGAAAGGAAACAGAAAGAGGAAAAAAAAAGAAAAATCATACACCTTCAAAAGGGGGAAAAAGTAACCTATTGCAGTAGAAAGAGATGGGGAAGAAAACAATTGTTTGTCTCCATTTGACCTGACTAAAGCAGATAAACACCACAGGCACCGGGAGAAAAGTCTATCTCCCTTAGTAACAGACGCAGCAGCTCCCGCAACTTCCAGTACCTAGGCACCTTCCTTGCCATTATATAACCAAGCCATGGCCTTAATAGGCCACCATCCTGCATGCCAGCAGCTGCTGGGCACATCTCAGATGTCAGTGTTGAAGGACCCCTTCCAAAATGAATTCAGATAAGCAGGGAGCAGGCCAAAATATGCCCATGGTTCATCGTGAGCACGTGACAGCTCCTTGAGAACTGAGCTTCACTCATGTCACCAGAGCCATTTAAGTAGCAAAAAGATAGGGAGGGCACTTGGAACTGGAGCTAGGAAATTGCACACTGTTACAGAAGCACAAACAAATGCTGGTGTGGTCTCTTCCACACATGCAACTCATTGTCCCTGCCATTTCAGCCTCATTCAAGTCTGAATATTTCCATACATAGGAATTGCATAACTGCACGCCACAAACGATCAAAGATAAAAACCAACATAAACAGTGACACCCGTCTATAAACAAGCCAATGCTGTAAAGGCTGCAGTCTAGAGAATACTAAGGTCTCAGAGAAAAACTCTACACACACACACACACACACACACACACACACACACACACACACGAAAGCAGCCAGACCAACCATAATTAGGCACTGGCTTTGCTGACTACTGAAAACAGAAATGTCCCTTTTATATATAAAGCCAAGAATCAACTGTTTGCAATTACATTTACAAGACACTCAACCCAGCCTGTCATAGATTTTTTTAAAAGTCAATATTTTGGTATATCTAAGAGCTGAAAGATTAAAAATTCCTTAAATCATAGAAAACATAGCCAGACAACCAATTAAGTTTGTGGAGTCCATTTCCCAGAGGTCAGAGCACAATAATTACAGAAGCAGAGTGGGGAGGAGGGGCAACAAGGACTGAGGCATATTGTTTGTAAACACAGTTTGGCTTGGTCAACAGTAAACCGGACTCCACATGCTGTAAGGAGATGCAGCCTCAAACTACAGCTGCGGGTCTGAGGGATTGCAACAGGAGAGGCGCACTTGAGTATGTCACTTGGCTCTGAAGACTTGAGGCCCTCTGGTAAAAACTGACAAAAAAGGCTTGAAGGGGTCCCACCAGAGGAAGTGAAACTGACCAATCACTCCTCCACAGTCACCCTAGGAAGAAGGGCCCCTTGTAGTCTTTGACAGAGAAGAGAGGGGAGGGAAGAAACTTCAGGTTGCAAATAAGCAGGAGACAAGGCCCAGATACAGTGACTGCCATGAAAGCCAAAACAAGGTATGAAGATAGCCTGGGGTGAAGAGGTGAAGGGAATTGGTGTGTTTTGGGTAGGAAGCTGCACAAGCTGTAAAGGATTTTCATTAGCCAGGCTAAAGAAAAACTCAAGCTACTGTTTTAAATATAATGAATGACTACATTAAAAGTATCCATTCAAGTGAGGTATTGAGCAAAGAATAATTAGGAATTCAAATAGGCTTTGTGGGTTCGTACCATCAAAACTAAATGATTCCTCAAAGAAGAAGGCTATGTAAAAGTGCTACTAATATTTCCTTTAAAAGAAATGTGTATATACATACATGCTTTCCTAATTGACCTTGGCCAGTTTCACTACTATAGCTCCTCAAATCCCTTGGGAACCAAAGGGCCCAAATGAATGTAATTCTTTAGTGTCAATCCCACGGTTCCCTTCCCTACTGAAAAGCCCACCCTGAGCTCTACAAAGCCCACAGTTCCAGACCCTCTGACAACTAAAAATAACCAGCAAACCGTCTTTCCTAAATTGTTTAACCCTTGGTTAGCTAGTGCCACCAGAAACCCAGACCCTTGGGGCATATTTGTTCCTGGGTCCCTTCCATTTTCCCCTTATTTCCCCGTTTCCTTCACTGCTTCCTCCAATAATCAAGTGTGCTCCTTAGGCTTCCAAATGACACCATCAATCAGTCTTAAATAATCAAACGTGAATTCCTATCTCTGCCATAGGTGCCAGGTCCTTCTTATCTTGCACCCACCGCACACCTTCACTCAGTCCGTGCCCCAGCCGTCCCGTTGCCCCTGGGAAGCCTGAGGTGACCAGTTTGAGCGTCTCCCCCATCCTGTGGTCCACATTTCATATGCCCCTGCCCTCATTTTCTGATGGTTTCCTAATTGCTGGTTCCGGAGTCTTCCTGGCGTGCAGTCCGCCGGCCCCCTGAGAGTTCCAACGCCTCCTTTCCAGTCACCCCCCTAGCACCCTGCGCACAGCCCTGGTGACCCTTTAGGTGCCCAGCTACTCAGTTCTTCCCCCCTCCGCTGTGAGGTCCCTGCCTTCTCCCGCCGCCACCGCTACTGACCCTGACCCGAGACCCGGGGAATCGCGTACTCCCCTGGCCCGGCCGCCCTGCAACGCCCCCCGGGCAGCTCAGCCCGCAACCGCGCGGTCCCCAGAGCCACTACCTTGGCCTTGGTGACGAGGTGCGTGGCCCGCTTGACCACAGCGAAGTTGCCCTTGCCGATGGTGCGG